GGTCTTCCCTAACTTAACACGTTCAGCGGTTACTAAACGTTAAATATCGTGAAATGTTAAATATAAGACTATATACCTGTTTCCTAACATCACGGTGACATGAGACATATATTACTAGCACGGATTTATTAAATCAGAACCTCTCTTTCTAAGTGAACTTCTAATAGATGAGTTCACGTCACCATCAAAATAGTTGTTATTTTCCTTTTTGTCTTTTTTTGGGGTTTATGGAAAAACTGCGCGGTTTGAAAGTTAAGATGACAGGATATTTAAGTTTCCTACATTTACCACATAAATTTTTCAAACAATATAAATATCACATAACTTACGATTAGTAAAGTTCGTATTTTAAGATAGGTGTATAACTTGAACAGATCCTTGAAAAGTTGGGATCCGATGGCTAATATAAAGGATTATGTATTTAAAACATTACAGAAATTTTAACATAGCCTGATTTATTCAATTCGTCTGTGACTATTATCTTTACTTTCAAAATTTATGTACAAAATTAGTCTGTTCCATGTTTGGAGATATCAAGTTTTAAAATCTTTTCCTAATTAACTTATGAAAACTCAACTGGTGAATCTCAAACAATGACTTTTTTGCTTTCTTCCGTTTTCAGCGCCTACAGTAGCCATTTGATGTCCTGTTATTCTTAGCAGGTGTTGTTGAGAAAGTTTTCTAACAACGATTTACACACTGCAGTGACTAATATGTACACTGCAAAAAACTAATGAAAAAAATAGTTATTGTGTTGTGTTGTTAGCTGACGATGGACTATAGACTGGTGCGCACATGACTGTAAGTATCTTGTCTCTTCTTCTGGCTTACAATGCAAGTAATTGTACATTCCATTGATGTTGGAGTCCTTTCAGATTTTTTTCTTTATTTTTTTATTTTAAACAAAGTTCGATTTCTATAATTTTGCACTTAGTAAAGTAAATTTCTCCTTCATGTTTTTTGTTTTTTTGTATCGTATTCAATATTTCTTGCACATGCTGTATTGTTTGGGCGTGAATAAAAATTTCGCGAAAATTAGGAAAAGCATAGTTTCCACGTGACCATGTGTTTGTTTCCATAGTTTTTCTTAAGTTTGCTTCTGGATGCAGTAGCAACAACAGCAGGAGACTAACAGATGTTAGAAGTTGGAAAGTGCTGAACAAGTATCATAACAGTTAGTATTTGTCTTGTGGTCTTAACTTCTACTATTTTTATTATGAGAAAAGTGCTTAAGAAACTTTTTAATATTCTTTCACATCTTTAAGTAGAGATATTTTCTTGATTTTATGTACATTTATGTATTCTACAGACCTTATTCAAGGATGGAAGTATGAAAATAAAGACCGAAACGAGTTAAATTATTAATAATTTATAAATTTGAATAAATTAATTTTAGTGATAGTAGACCTTTTTTGGTTCCTTGATAAGATGGTAATGATAAGCTATAATTTAACAAATATTAGCTTTCTATAATTATAAAACTCAGTGAAGTTCTTCCAAAAAACAAAGTAGTCCGATATGAACAAGGTAGAAAACGAATGAAAACTTTCTAAAAGATACTTAGTGCGGAGCTCTATGTAGAGACTGATTTAAGGATCAGTTTTCGAAAACTAATTCAGTTACATGAAAACACAAGTATATAAAATATGTAAAAATTAGTCTAATAAGAAGAAAAAGTTCATTATGTGGAGTATAAGATGGTCGATCTGAAATAGATGTATATTGAACCCCAAAACTCAGACTTCTATTTACCACTGATTCAGTAAGGTACACTTGAAGTATTTTCATATTTAAAAGACAAACAACATCAGTCTACTTACAGTTTCGAATACATAAAAATCAGTTTCTTTCACAAAAACTTAAATAATGCTTTTGAAAATAATAAACAGTAATTCTTTAACTGTAGTAACGAAACCAAAAATATAATGATCGAAGTGATGGGCGGTTTAACTACATTTATGGTATCATAACAAAATCTATGGAGACATGTTCAATAAAATGAATACAGCTCGGTAAGATTTCTACAAACTTAATAAGATAAGATCCGCGCTTACCTCTGGTATAAATATGCGGTCTATATTCCTCGAACACGGTATATATAGAAGATCTTATTTTT